TTAATATATTTTTCATCATTATTTTCTTTTTTATGGTTATAAAAACTATCTAATTGAATTAAATCTAAACTATCTATTTTGTGATAATTTTCATTTTTTTTGTGGTTTTGATTAGGAAATAATAATTGAGATACTTTAAAACTATTATTGTCGTTCCACTTAAAAGTTTCGCTTTGTTTTTTGTATTTAAATACTATATTATTATTATCAAGGTTTACTATAGCTTTTAATTTTGTTAATATATCCATTCCTAATAATATTGGTGAGCAAATACCTTCCACAATTATGCATTCGTGTTTAATTTCTATCGTTCCAATATTTATTTCTACCAATGACTTTCCAATTATGTTTAAACTCGTATTATTCGCGGCTTCTAGACTGATATCTGTTTCTAACGGTAAAATTTCTTTTAAATAAGTATTATTGTGATTTATAACAGTAATACTTGCTCCAGTGTCAACTAAAAAATTAATTTCATGATTATTTATTTTCCCTGGTATTTCAATTTTATAAAGATTACTATGATTTTTGTCATTTGTACAGTTTATTATGTTTGTATTTATTAAGTCATTTATGTTGTTATTTTTTATCGTAACTAATTCTGATGGTACACTAGGGTTTTTATCAATTTTGGAAACACACCTAGTTAAGTGTTTCATTTGAAGTTTTTTGATACAGTACACGACGAACGCATGTGACCCGGTAATCCACAACCGAAACAAACTATATCTGTTTTTGGCGGATTTTCATTATAATTTTTATTTTGAATATTGGGTTGTAATTTTTGGTTATTATTTTGCATACGCATATTATTAGAATTATTATCGTTATTATACATGGTGTGATCTATATTATTTGTTTCCGGATAGACTTTGTTATAGCTAAAGTTATGAACATTATTAGGTCTATTATAATTATTATTATAACCATTAAAATTAGAGCGATAATTATAATTCATGTTATTATGATTATTATTATTTTTATTATTAAATTTTTGTGCATTATAATTGTTATTATATTGTTGATGAAAGAAAGGAGGCTTATAGTTATTAAACCTAGGTCCACTGTAGTTACCGTTACTGTTGCCTTGTCTATAACCATAATTATTATAGTTATCGTTATTATATTGCATGAAGTTATTATTAAAATTTGAATTAAAAGTATCGTTTTCTAATTTAACTTTTTCTTCTAACTCACGGGCTCTTGATTTCGTATATTCTAACTGTTTCAAATTATTTTCTAATTCTATCAAACTGTTATTTTTTAACATACCTATAACATTATAGTATTCAGGTGATAAAGCATCTAAAATTAAATCAATTTTTTCCCATTCAGGCATCATTCTGTTTGTTTCATTTATTAAAAAAATCATATCTATCCAAAATTCCCCAATAGATTCACCAGCTTTTAATTTTCTGTTTCTTAGTTTATTTCTTAACATTTTTGATCTCGAGTACGACGCGAAATTTTCTTTAAATTTAAGCATTATTTTTTCAAAAGACAATTTAGTTTCGGAATCAAGAATTTTAAATAGCTTATATGCCGATCCCTTTAAATAAAGTGGTAAATATACTAATTTCATCTCGTTATCCCATCCGTTTGCCTTTGCCATTAATTCAAAATTTTCAAAAAATTCTAGTACACATTCGTCTTGTGTACCATTAAATATACCGGGTGAAAAATGATGATTACCCGCCATTTTAAAATTAATATTCGTTTTACTATAATTATCCTTCAAATAAAAATTATTTTCTGTTTTATAAAATAACTTATTTTGAACTACTGTACTTTTGTTATCTACAATATCAGTTTCGTTATTATTTAATTGAAATGTATTAAGGTCTACTAAAATATTGCTTAATAATATAATAGCTTCAATACTATCCTATAGACATATTAAATTAAAATCTTAAATTTTTTGTAACACGCAATATTTTCTCTAAAAAAAAAAAATTATATTTTAATTCCAAGTCTCAATTTCTATGTTTCGTAGAAATATTTCTCTATATCTCTAAAAAAAAAATTGTACCAAAAAATAAACCTTAGCTTACATTTGTATTTTAATCAACCAATTTGAACCTTGTTCTTATATATATTTATGTGCTATAAAATATTAATAAACTCGTTTCAACCACTTAAAAAAAATTTTAAGAGGTTGAAATAAATATTTACCAATATAAAAAGAAAATTTTTTATTTTTTTAAAAAATAAAAATCACGACTTTCAATGGCCACAAAACCGTATTTTTCTTATATATATAAGGAGCAATATTTATACTACAACTACGTCTAAAAATAATTAACACAGAGAGGTATAAACCAAACAGAGTCGTATATTATTGATAATTTTGTACGTAAAAGTGTTCAAAGCTTCGGCGCCTCCACCAAATATGTAACGTGGCTGGGGAACCTAGTTACTATATTAGTTATCCAGGGAAGGTTTTCTGGTCCTTATGGATAAATTTTCCGTAGCTGGGGGGTTAGAACACGGTATGTGGGATCTTATCAATAAATAAAACACGTTTGGTTTATAAATCTCTGTTCAAAATATATTTTTGGTTTGTACTTAACAAAATGTAGATGGTGGTAAACAGTGGCGTATATAGGTTTTTTTTTCGGAGGGGGCCGATTATATATTTATATATACATTTTTATAATAAAATATATTTACATTTATTTGAAGTTCTCTGGGGAAAGCATTCCTGCAAGACCTTTCAACCCTCTTTACATCATCAGAGTAATAATAAACTCAATCATTTTTATAATTAATTGTAACATAAAAACAAGTTAAAACTCTAAGTTTCAATAAACAATTTTTTTATCACGTCATTCAAAATTAAATAAGAATACAACCAATACTAATATAATGTATATAATTAATAATCGTACAAGAATAAACAAATTCTATAATTTTTAAATACATAGTTTTGGATTTATAAAAAGAAAAAATTACAAGACAAAATCAAGATTTCTCGGCACACTTGCAAACTTATTAAGAACTTCCTCATCACTTACATAAATGTCTCTGTGAATGGATAACAAGGCCAATCCATTCAATCTGGTTTCAGATGTTGTATTTCTCAGATACGTCTTTAATCTTCGTAAGGTCGAAAAACTCCTCTCGACAGTTGCAACAGAAACGGGCAGAACTGCCAACAATTTTAAAAGGGTATACATATTGGGAAATAAATTCTTGTTACATCTTTCTATAGAGCAAATGGCTGTTTTAGGCAGGTTTATAACTTCTGTTTTTATCCATTTCTCTTTCCACAACATGAATTCACTCTGCACGATTTCTTTGAAAGATAAATCTTTTGAATAAAATTTATAAGCAGAGTCCAGTGATGAAAACTCACTTTTTATGCAAAATTCTGGAAGAACGCATTGCAATGATGAGATTAATTCCTTATGGGTTTCAAAACGTTCATTCAATGCACTGCAAAAATCGTCAAGGTAAGGTACATAAACTGCTCGCCGATAGTACTCTTCTTCTGAGTTGTAAGGTACGTTACAACGGGATCCTTGAAGGCGACAAGTTCTTGGGACTTCTTCTTTAATATCATTTTTGTTAGCAAATTCTCTTATTTGGACGTACAGTTCTTTGAAATTATCCTCTACATTTGATCTTTGTTTTTTCAGCAGCTCCAAAATATTTGTCACACTTTTCATAGCTTGTGAAAGGTCAATATTTTTCTTTTGCAGTATTTCAGACAAATTGTGTGTCAAGGAAAGCATGTTGCTCAAAACAAAAATATTAACAATAAATTGATATTGACTTATAGAATTGCTTAGAGCATGTGCTTTTACATTTTTTTCCTCGATTTTTAAGAGAGCAAGATTAATTGGCTGCAGTATTTCTTTAAAGAAAAGTACTGAGTCGTGTCTTTCGACCCACCGTGTTTCGCAAAGGGATATCAGTTTCTTCTTTTTTTGTTCAGGACAACATTCAGTAATGGCTAATTTGAGCAATTCAGTCCTTTGGGCTGACATGTGAAAGAATGCATACACTTCACTAATAATACCCATACAGTTTCTTATAGAAGGTACTTTACTTGCATCTGATAAGCACAAGTTTAAATTATGAGAAGAACAATGGGTGTACACGGCCAACGGTAGTTTTTGTTTAATGCAAGCTTGCACCCCTCTAAATTGGCCTCGCATGGCTGATGCGCCATCGTACCCTTGACCTCTAAGTTTATTTAAATCTAGACCTAAACTTGATAAAGTCTCCAACACCGTTTTAGCTAAAGCTGAACCTGTAACTTCATGTACAGGAACAAACATAAGAAAATCTTCTCTAATTTTAAATGAATCTTCGTCAACATACCGTAAACACAGAGAAAATTGCTCAACTTGACTGATGTCAGTTGTTTCATCCGCTAATACAGAGTAAAACAATGACTTTTTTACGTTGGACAAAACTTTAGATTGTATAATATGTCCGAACGTAGTAATAAGTTCGTTCTGAACTACTGAGCTGGTATACATACTCTTTCCACCGCTATTTAACAGCTGGTTTTTAAGATATTCATCTCCACTATTAGCCCTATATCGTAGCAAAGCCCTGAAATTCCCATCGTTGTTTTCTGGCTCTTTAAGATCTATTCGTCCACTATCACGATGGCCCCTTAAAGAAATTTGCTGCCTCCCACAAAATCTTATACTTTGTACTATAGGAATAAGTTTTTTTCGATTTTCTACAACATTAATCTTTCTTTGGGTATTAATTTGATTTATTACACTTTCAGTTTTATTATTTAATATGGATCTTATGTTTTCCACAGTTATCACTGTATGTTTGTGATAAGTACAATTTTGATGTTGATTAAACACCTCTCTAGCTTTTTTTAGATTAGTAAAAGGCTTTGTTACTAAACTCCCCACCATTTGGTGAGATCCTTTCCCCACAAATTCAGAATGAGAAAATATTACACAATATTTACAAAACGATCCTAATTTTTTTTCAGAATATGCTAACCATTTATATTCTTCAAGCCATTTCATTTGAAAAGTTCGAGTATGATTTAGATCTGATATTTTTGGAAATTTATATTCACACTGTGGTTTCCAAACATTGTCAAAAAATGAAAGTCGTTCTTCGTTAGTTAAAGAACGAACGGAGCTTTCGTTGGAAAAATTCCCAATGTCATAACGATTAATCGTTACTTCTTGGTTAGGACTGCAGTCCGTGATAGCTACTGGCATATCTATGCCAGAATTGTCAGTATTAACGATATTGACGATGTCAACAATGGCAGATGAAACGTTCCTGTTACTAATTTCAATTTCATTATTAGTGACATTCTGTTTCTTAACAAAAAAGTTTTGAATCGACACTTGTCTCTTCATTATGACGATACTATAGTAATAAAAAAAATATAATGTTTTAAAGAAAAATTGTAACACGATAAAAATTACACAAAAACACGAAATTTCACATGTATTGTGGAACGAACTCAACAAAATCGATCACACTACTGGTGTACGATAACAAATATTATGGTAAAGCAGTGACAGACTGGACCGAGTGCAGAATAAGATAAATACAAGGTTATAATAGAATAAAGTAATATACTATATTACTATCTCACCACCAGTTATTAAATTAATTCTAAGAAGTCATGAACTAAAATTACATATACAAATAATTTCCGTCTGCCGTAAACAACTATATATCAACCAATATTGGTTTTGTTTATAAAACTTAAATTGTGTTACATAATCATTAATAATCGTCAAAATACCAACGCATTCAACGCGCTATACTCTTATTTTTAGATTATCACATAAGCAACAATTTCGTTCGTGACGTCATGGTTACATTTTCGGTGTCGCGACAATATTTCATTTCGGGAGGGGCCCGGGCCCCTTCGGCCCCCCCCCATAAATACGCCACTGGTGGTAAACAATCCCGGTGTTGGTGAGTTCATGTTTTTTGGTGAGTTCGTGTTATTGCGGTCGTTCTCGAACTGCCCTTTTCGATAAAGGTGAAATATGCACAGTGGCCTCACCTATCAATAATGTTTACTCTAGCATAAATATCCCACTATTGCCTACATTGCGAATTGACACTAGAGCTAGGTGTCATGTAACAATAATATATATTATTGTTACACCACTTATAACTGTGATTGCCGATGGTGCTTGGTCGAAAAGATCATACAAAAGTGGTTATAATGCACTGTCTGGTGTAGTAGTATTTATTTTATAGTTTAGATTATTTGAGTTATTTTCGCTATCACTATTTGTATTTTTAACCAGTAATCAGAGCTGTCACGTTAGGTTATAATACAAAAAGTACTGTATATAAGTAGTGATCAAATATTGCTCGATCTTGGTGATAAAGCAAATTAAAAGAAATATGCCAGCTGTTCACGTATGCTTCTAAAATTGATGGTAATATGGATGACAGTGAATATTATTGTGGAAGGATTTCGCGCAAGTATCTCATGCTATTATATAATAAGGCAAGTTATAGAGATGTGACCTCAAGTGCGTAACTAAAATATTTTGGCTAAACCATATGGACGCGATGTTTTTGTTAAAATTGAATGAGCAATACGTAACCGAACGAAGTACACCGAA